CATGGTAAAGGGGCCCTGGATGGTGTTAGGGGGACCTTGGAAAGAACAGCAGACAAGATGATGACCAATGGTCGCGACAAACCCAGTGCCCATGAACTATTTAAGGCATTCACAGAAACATCTACAATTGTTGTTGTTTGATGTAGCATGCAAAGCAGTAGAGAAGGCAATGGAAAGGATGCTAGGTCAGATTCCCCCAGTGCCATTCACAATGAAAACCCACTAAGTGGTCACATTCACTCCAGGAGAGATCCATTACTGGGAAGTCAGTTGCATGTGCTCCACGCAAAAGCAGCTGAGATGTCAGTGCTTCATCGCACAGCACTTCACTTTTAACAAGACAGTCCAAAAGGTGCAGAAAAAAGCAGTTGTTTAGGGAAATTAAAAGCTCATTGGGAAATGGTATATGCTTAAATATGACAATGACCTTTATCTAGGGATTTTTCTGAATACAGATGAAAAGCATGCCTTCGTCAAATGTATGCACCGTGCCAGTGCCAACAGGTTCTTCTGGCCTGCAAGAGGAGATAACATTCTGTGCTACCTCTGATGATGTGCTCGAAATCATTCAAGAACCACAACCTGTGATATCCTGTCACATTGAAATCCAGAGGGATGAATGGCCCAGTCACTGTCAATGTGTTCTTAATGCTTTTGAGGATGTCAGAGTTCCCACTCCTTTTAGGAAACAATTCATATTTTCAGGGCCATAACTAGTTACATTTCTGATTTGAAATGCTCCCCCTTCCATCTCCTGGTCTTTAAAGTCTTCAAGGAGTTAAAACCTCTTTTTTTGCCTTTTTGAACATGTTTCATGAAATGCTCCATAAATTAATAACGACTAAAATTCTTGTTCTGTGGACTAATAAAATAAAAGTAACTTTGATTTGAAAATTTGAATTACTACTTTTTGTACAAACAATGAGACAATTGACATGTCAAATTCATATTTGGAAATTAAGAATCTAAAATGGAATGTCACCTCACCTTTAAATGGCAGCAGCGGATTGCTATGGATTGGTATTACAATGGTGCGTTTGCCCGGCGAGCCAGATCGCTTTTTGACTGCGGAAATTGATATGCTTGTGCAAAAGTGTGGTAAAAATCTATGGTAGCAGCACTGTTCTACCAAAGCCTTTCGAGGTGAAGCAGGTGTGACATGAGGTAGCAGTGAGTGTGTTCTTGTTTTCTGGCATCACCAGAGCATCCAGTGCTGAAAGTGGTTTAGTGATGTCAGAAGACGGGGAAGCAGAAGCTCGCTGCTGAACAAGCACAGAAGCGTGGAACAGGGACTTAATTATGCTTAAATTGCATCCATATCGGACCATTACTTCTGGGTGCTTAACTTTTTTTGTCACTGAGAATATCTGATGAATTTTCAGCAATATAAATGTCCTTTCACTTCCAGTATGTGCTTAATTCTGATAATGAACTCAAAAGATTTTTGATACGGTTTGTTCTTTACTTAATATATACTGTTTTTCTTTTGGTGTTTCATTAAGCAGTATGATTATGTAAAAGAACCAGATGTACTCTATCATATACGGTGGCCCCTAGAGACAAAACACAAACAAAAGAAAAAGCAGAAACAAAATGAAAATGCGCTGCAAATTAAAAAACACAAAAGAAAAAGCAGAAACAAAATGAGAATGCGCTGCAATTCAAAAAAGACAAACAAAAGAAAAAGCAGAAACAAAATGAAAATGCGCTGCAAGTCAAAAAAGACAAACAAAAGA